GAATTTGAAGCGGACCCGGGCGTGACAGGTATCTCATGTACGGCAGCACATCTTCTCCCCCTGCCACCCATGTATGGACACAAGGCCCTGAGCCATTTGCCACTTTTTATTGAGGCTTCCCAGAGAGAGGTGATGGCAATGGGCAATGGGAAAGGTGCCCTGGGATCAGTCTGGGAGTTCCGCCTGGGACCAGCTGGCCTGGTGGGCGGCCCGTGTTGCAGTACACACAGCAGCCACCCCTGGAAAGCTCCCTTTCCTTGGGTGACTGCCCTAACCACAGGACTTGAGAGCCCTCCTGGCACAGTCATGCTCTCATCCAGAAGCCCTTTGATTGCTCATTTGCAAAGCATGTGTGTGTGGGTGGCAAAGGCAGCAGTGGTCTGTTTACTCTCCCCTTCCTTCCTTCCCTGCTTCACCACGAACATTTGAACCCTTTGGCCAGCTTTGAGCAGCTTTGGGATGTAAGTTCTCACATGTTTCTTTAGAAGAGACAGTGGAGGAGGACAGGGACCTTTTTAATTTTCCCAGTGCAGGAAAGGCCACGGTGTAACATCTCATTCAAAGAAGCCTCACAAGGAACAGGTGTTCTGCATGCAAGCCCCCAACCACAAGTTTCATCTGGCATATGGATGTTATTAGACACCAGAGGATCTATTCAGAGCTTCAGAAACTAGGGGGTTTCAAATCCACCCCTGGGCTGACCCACTTGGTCTTAGCCCATGCAGGCTTCTGGCTTCCAGTCCAGGAGAAGAGAAGGCTCTACATCTCCCAGTTTGATGCTGCAAATTTAAAAGGTGAATCATGTACCTCTTTGGAGAAGTACTCTTTTCAAAAAGCCCAGTCCGAATCACAGGAAGAGTAGTGGAAATCTCAACGATAGAAGATCCCTCATCTTGTAGCACAGGCTGTTCCAAGTGCAAACCTGGCAACTTGTTACACAAATGAAAAGAATGGCGCAAAAATAATCAGAGTGGGTTTGCCAGCTTTGCAAAGTTTATTTAGCTTCATTCCTTAGCACACTGACATGCACAGGACATAAATATCACCGTGACCACAGTCAGTGCAGCTCAGCAACACCCGGACATTGCATTCCAATGCACCACAGTGTTTTTGAAGGTAATGTAAGCACTGTGTGCTAAAGCAAAATGCTCAGGGCACAAACATAAATATGAATTAGGGTGCATAGCCATTATCTGAAATAGACTACAGTGAAAATTACGGTAGATGATCTGCTAGAGTGACATTTTTATTGCATACTGGGAGAAGCTTTACTGAGGTAGGTGAGGGCTGACAGATAGCATTTACCATTACAAAAATTTAAAAAGTGTTCAGATTATTTTTCCCCTGACTCAATCAGGTTCATTGACCCAGAGCACATGATCCATGTGAGATCAGCAATAGCAGATGAGTTTTGCTGGATGCTGCTTTTGGACATCATTCTGAATGAAATTACAAGATGAAAAAGCTCCCAAGGACTGGGCAGAGGAACACCTGAGCACGCCCATTTCATGCTACAGATGTACTAGAAATGCAGTGACAAAAGCAGTGCCAGAATTTCATGAAGAGAGTGCTGGTGTGGCCAAGGCATAATTTGCTACAAATAAGACAGTTCCTCTAGAGGAACTGACTAGAGGAACATGTTCCTCTAGAGGAACATCTGACTCCTTCAGTGCTTTTTCTTCTAGAAAGAAGCAGCCTGCAGGACCAGGCATTTTGGCCAGGTCTGTAGTCCAGAACTTTGAGTTCGCAGAAGTGACCCTTTCTGAAAGCTTGCCTGTCGGTCAGCTGGGAGGGGTTTCTGTAGGCTGCTGCTGATCCATTAATCTTCTGCTTGAAAAGTGACTCAGTTTTCTGACTGCTTCTTCTAATTTATCTGTAATCACTGTCTAAGAAACTACATAGAATATAGCTAAAATTCCTGGAACTCTTTTCCAGGTTGGGTTTTCCATGTCAGTAACTGTTTCTTATCACCCCAGAAGAGCAACATGGTCACAAATTACAGAAACAGTGTATGGAGCACATCTCTTCAAATATTAGCTCCTTTCTACAATAAAAATCTCCAAAAATTCTAACCTGTCTGAACAGAGGACTAATCTGTTCTCTGCTAGGAAAAGAGCAGTTCACATGGCTGCACGCTGTTTTGCTCTGACAGCACAATGATGAGCATGGCTTCTGTGTTGGGTAATGGTTGGCACCAGCTGATTCAGGGAGGAGTAATAAACCTCCACAGTAGGGATAGTTGTGCAATAATCTATCTCTGGAGCACTGAGCTTGTCTATTTTTCTGACTCAATGTGGAACTCATTGCGTGCTGTGGGGGAGAAGGATTAGGACCGTGTAATTTTACACTGGTTGAAGTTCCTACAAACGCTGTTCTTATTCCAGTAATGTTCTGAATTTGTTGAGCATTTTGGAAGCTCTGACATTCAGCTGGATAATGTCCTTCTTTGCTGAGATAGAGTGACTTCTGTGGGATACCCTTGGATGCTTCCAGAAGCAGTCCTAGGCTCTGTTTGGTCATGTCTGTCATTGAGCATCTAGCAATGTATACACCTCAGGGCATTGTTTTCCAGCAGACTGGGTGCAACAGTACTGCTGAGACACAAAGCCACCCTGAGTAGGACTGTGAGTAGAGAACATCAGCCTTTCTTTTAGGATGATGGGGAGGGCACTGCTGCTTCAGCCAATAAGCTGGTTCAGCTGTTAAACCGGAGGTTTACTCCCATAGTCATTCTCAATGAAGGTGCCTGTGGCTGGGAAGGACTTTTCCCTCCAGACTGCACTGATGACAGCCCTGTGGACATTCTGCAGCACCCACAGTCTTTCCAGTGTTTCCTTTGTAAGAATCAGGGGTGCCTGAGTAGTTGCAGGAGTGGTAACATGGCCTCAAGTTGCTGTTCTACCTGAGCTGGTTTATAACATTTCCCTCAATGTGCAGTCAGGTAATTGCACATGAACATTTGCATTAAGTTGGTGTAACTGGCCCAGGAACCAGTGCAAAGGAAAACTGCCTGCTGTCAGTGTGCTACATAGATAATGTGGTCTGGTGATTGGAGACATGATGTAATTATCTGCATCTGACTTTCCCAGTAAAGCTTGAATAAGTTGCACTACAATTAACCCTGCATGAACTTAACTACAGCCTGCCAGCCATCCAAACCAGGGCCAGCACTGTACTACGTGGTTTATATTATGTTGCTACACAAGGGTCTGTATACAGAAATATTAAGAACAGTTAGAAAGAAGTATGAGCAAAGATGTGTGTGTAAAAGCACTAGAGGAACATGAGAGAAAGAATGCAAAGAAAGGCCTGTACTGGTAACCAGGGATATGATCAATGGCAGTGAAACTGGTAAACACCTTTTGTTTTGCTTTCACCAAAATCACAGCATGGGTGACTCAACAGCAGAAAACCTGCAATACAGGAGTGTGAGAATGGCAGTGAGCATAGAGCACACTGTGTGTGCCATGTGTATCGTGTAACCCCAACAAGAAATCTAGATTTACTAGTAAGCTACCCAAAATGAAGAAGAAAAAGACAAGTGCAGCAATCTCACCCAGGATTTACAATGGATAGTTAATAAAGATTCCAAGGTTAAAGTACAATACCTGTGGCTCCTGAGACATATAAAAGATCCATCCAAACACCAATACATTATCACCAGTGAAAAGAAAGCCAGAAGACGAAGTAAAGGTTCAATGGCAAACACTCCAGAATACTTGCAGATGATAATTTTGGAGTTTGTGAGTCCCATGTGTGCATTGACAGTGTCATGTTTCTTAGAAAACTAAATATAAATCACTTCCCCTTCTATACACTTTTGCACTTTTTTACCTGACTTCCCACAGGTGTAGTATTACCCATAAAATACTCCAGCTCCTGACTTTGTGAACATTACAAAGGCAAGTTTTACAGAAGGCCAGAGGAAATCAACACAAAAAAATTGATGAACTGAGGAAAGTTAAAAAGTAAAAAAAATTAAAGATAATGTAAAAGAAGGTTGAGCTAACCTGAAGAAACCCATACAAAAAAATAGAAATAAAGTGCACACATCCAAAATAAAAAAGAACCAGCCATGCACACACAGCAAAAGAGACAACACAGAGTCTGTAAAGATGTTCTGTGAATAGCTCAGTTACTTTGGATAATGAATAATAAGCTGCCCTTCTCCTTGAATGGAGAATTTGAACTTCTTCGAAGGAGCCTGAGATGTTCTAGCTTCCTACCACATAGATAAAAATCATAACAACAAAAACATGAGCCTTTGAAAGGAAACATGTTCACTTCTTCGATGTAAAATGTGCTGTATTAAATGTGTTGTTTACATTGTATACAGTATTGTATGCACTGTTTATAGCTAAATATATCCAGCAACTAACCATTAAACACTCACAATTGAAAGCACATGAAACTGGTTACATTGTCTATACACCAACATAAATGGTTTTATGCAATGCCTAGTAGTTTGTTCTTTATTTAGGGTGAGACAAACACCATGAAATATTAGGAGTTACCTCAGCTGTCTGCCCCTGTTGGGAAGTTTTTTCTGTCACTGCCATGATCTGGGAAGGAAACAATCTGATCCAAAGAACTTGCGGAGTTAAAAACCTGTTTAATAGTAATCCTTGATTTATCATACTTGGTTTCTGTTGAAAAAATGAAGACCCTGGCTCCTGTCTTACGTCTACTCATGCACAGATCCAAACTGGGGAACAAAATAATTCTGGAATCTGTCTTTTCCACCACACAGGACATAGTGGGGAGGTTCTGTAATGTCATAGGAGAAATGTAAGGCTGGAAATATCTGCCTAACGTGACCATAGTTCAAGCTGTCAACTCGGGCTTATAAATAGTACAAAGTGAAAGAGGCAGAGAGGGGGAGCAAGGCTTAGCTCTCATATGGCCTTAGTTCTTTGCCTTCTCCTTTCTAATATCCAGGTCATATTCACCTTGTGAGTGTATGAGCCTGCCATGATCACATGAAGATTTCTCTTGATGTCCACCACTTTCAGTTCTAAGCTGGCAGACTATTCTGTGTTTGTTGTATTGGCATCAAGGAACAATATATAAGAAATGCAGCCATAGCCTTACACAAACCAATGTGACCTGTGTTCAGGGAAGTTGGACACCCTTTGATACTGACTTTCAGCAGTGATCTACAATTTGTGAATGGAAGATAGAATAAGAAATGGGAAATTCAAGGGGAATACCAAATAAAAATTTTAATTTAGCTGTAGAACAGGGTTGCAGTCCTAAAGATCAGCAAAGTCCTGCAGGTCAGTCCTGGGTGGGCAGTGAACTAGATGCCCAGTGCTATTTTCCATTTCTAAGACCCTCAGTTCTACAACAGAAGGAGCAATATGCAGCATCTGAGTTGCCCCTACAAGGCAAGCAGGCAATCTCAATTTCAGTTGAGCTTGAATCCAAACCTAAAAAATTCTCAGGGTTCATCCATCCATAATATCTATGGTTTTTTCTCCCCTCATCTGTTGCCTCAGTTGTGCCGCTGGGGGTTTCTGTAACTCAGTTCTCCACTGCTTTTATCCATGTTTTCCAGAATGCTACCAGATGCAATATAATGAGATTATTTATGATTTCTAAATATCGTCTTCTAATGTATCTCCTAGGCCAACAAAGCAGCAGCACAGCAAATCTCACTGAACCAGAGCTTCTTGTAGCAATCCCAAAGTGTCCATTTCCATTTCCTGGCTTCACTGTCTTCTTATTGTGCCTTTTCAGATTTCCTTTTGGAGGATTTGGTGGTTTCTTTTTTTTTCACGGCAATAATGGAAAGAAAAGTGTTATTGGCTGCTGGTGTCCAATCCCTGAAGAGTCAATGCAGATGGAGTCTTTCTCCTGGGACTATTTTGGTGATGTACAGAGGAAAGAATAGAAGTTCTGTCCTCAGTGTTGTCCTCAGACACAAGTTGTCCTTGACCCAGCAGCCCCTGAAGAGAGTCAGAGGTGACATGGGTGGATGTGCTCCCAAATCCTTCCGGTCTGGTCTCAGCAGCTGCATTTTCTTCACCCACTTGGGGCTTTGCCTACTCAGAGAAGTACATACTCTTAGGTGAGCACATTTCTAATGCCGCAAGTTAAAACTAATCTCCTTTAATGTGAGAATGAGTTGACTGCTTTTCAGCAAACTTGTTGGGAATTTATGTCTAAATAAAGACTTGCATATAACACTAAAATAGAATTTCAAAATTTCTATTAAATTCTATGTTATGTTAATTAATCTTTAAAGACTTTTTGCTGCTTTATATATCCAATAAAAAAAAACCCCAAACCTCCTATAAACTCCTCTTTGTGACAGTACTTGAAAATTTATCCTCTGCTTTCCATGGTCAAGGCAGCTAGAGAGTAACTATGGAATCCCTGTACCTCCCTTGCTGGTCAAGACAGTGTAGCCCCATTTTACAGAAATTAAATTGAACAAAGGACTTGACCTTGGACATCTGTACCCAATACCAATCTCTCCTCCATTTGCTGCAAAACTGTAAACACTGGTAGAAGCAATAACGAAGTCCCCATCTTTGCCAATTTAGTGCTGTATTTAAGGTCATATTCCTCGATTTATACTTTCAAAATTTAAGTCAAATGGGAAGAAGAGCACGCTATGTGATAACTGACACCACCAAGCATAGGTACTCTGAGCTGAATTTCTCCCATTGCTGTTGCAACATCATCCAGAAATGCTTAGTGGGACCAAGCTTAGTATTTTATCACTGACCCATGGCCAGGTGGTGGTGAAAGAGTTTCCAGCTGAGGCTGCAAAGACTGTGGGTCGAATAGGCAGGAAAACTTCACCATTGCGTGCTGTTCCAGAGCAGTCCTGCTGCTGGCCAGCAGAAATCTCTGAGGCAGGATTGCTGGCTCCTTACCAGCACACGGAGCTGAAAAGTGCACTCTGGGAACACAGTGCTTGTGCCGACAGTGTTCTTCAATTTGGTTTTACTCTCCCTCTGTGTGCAGATAAATACAGTGCTGTGCCAGCAGCTGTGTGTAGGTGCACAGAGAAAAAGAGGCAGTTGCTCAAACAATGTGGTATGGAGGGCTGGGGAAAAGGCAGGTTGTAAATGTAAAGGACATTTACGTTAAAGGAAGGTGTGAGAGCTGCAGGAAGAGCCAAATTAAAAAAAAAAAAAAAAGAGTACTTCAAGCAGCCAAATTAAACAAGACACAATGGGGGCCAATTTAGCCTCCCAGGCATTTCAAAAGCCCACACCCCAGAGTTCAGGGAGTGCTGAGGGGGAACCATGTGTCCCTCTAGGTCTTATTTAACTTGGCCAGGTATAAGGAACTTTAACTCTTTTGTGACTTGCTGGTTTCCACAGCACCAGCATCTTCCCATTTTTTTTCTTTGTTTCTGGGTGCTTTTTATTGGATAAGTTTTAAATCCTTTTGAAAAGAAATAATTTCTTTGGATTTAAAAAAATAATCATTAGAGGCAAAGCGTAAAGTCATTTCAGTCATACTATCTTGAAGGAAAATAGATACAGTATTTTGGAAAGAATTTGAAATGAAAACACAAAGCCTGATGGGATTTAAATGTAGAAAACCAAAAATTCAGTCTCGCCTCCTCTTTTCCCTTCCCCGATTCATGAGGTCACCATTTCTCAACTCACAGACTATGGCATCTTGCCGGGATACTGAGGCAGCCACCCGAAGAAGTTTTCTTGCTCCTATGACCACAAAGCAGGATCAAACTGGCCAAGAGAAAATAATTAGAGTGGTTTATTGAAGCTAGAAAGAGAGAAACTTTGTAGAACTAGCAAGAAAAAACATCCAGAAAATGCAGGCAACCTTTTTGGTCCCTCAAAAATTTGATGTATAAGAATTTGAGAAAAAGGAGGCTGGGTGAAAATGTGCGAAATAGAGAATGTGCATTGAAATTCAGCATTGTTGCTTGTAAATAGCTTGGTTGTAGAGGGATTGCGTGTGCATGTGTGTATGTCCATACAAAGGATGAGTGTGCAGGTCCCTGCACACATAAGACATGGCAGACCTCAGTCCAACAAAGTTTAACTTTAATCTTGCTTGCAAGCACTTCATTGTGGCAGGCTGGGTCTCTAAAGAGGGAGGGCTGACACTGTTGCCATGTCAGCTCTATGGCTTCTGGGACAAATGATTTTTCTCCTGGCCTTACTCATACTGTCTGTGCTCAGACCTCAGAAGGGGGTCCTTTGTTCAGCCCTGGCACCGTGTGAGAAAGCCCTAAGCTTTGCATACCATGTAACTCTCAGCCTACCTGAAGAAGAAATTATCACTCTGACACTGCATTGGCCTCGCTTAGTTACAGGTATTTCCCTTTCTAAATAAATTTTAACCCCTTCCAGGGTAAATCAAGAGCATGAGGGGAGTAGGGATTGTGAATATTATTCTTCCCAGCAGATTTCTCTACAGTAAGACCCTGCAAATTCAAAGGATTTCCTGAGCATATTGATAGCTCCTACTTGCTCTGCCACAGCTCAGAACCATAGAATATTTCAACTTAAAAGGAGCCAATAAAGATCATTGATTCCAATTCCCTGCTCTTCTCAGAAATACCTAAAACTAAACCATATGACTGAGAGCATCATCCAGATGCCCCTTTTAGAGGCTTGATGCTGTGATCACTTTCCTGGGGAGCCTCTTCTAGTGACTGACCACCTTGTCAGTGAAGAACCTTTTCCTAATGTCCAATCTGAATTTCACTTGATGCAGCTTCATTCCATTTCAATAAGAGCAGAGTGGTGCACAAATATGTTAACAGTCATGGCTCGCATTAAAAGCTTACCTGTGAAAGCAACAATCTGCTGGTCCCTGCTGTTTATTTCAGATTCCAAAAACTGTCCAACTATACTTACCATAGAATGATAGAATGGTTGGGCTTGGAAGGGACTTTTAAAGGTCATGTGGTCAAACCACATGTGATAAGCAGGGACATCTTCCACTGGATCAGGTTGCTCAGTCCTGTCCAACCTGACCTCGAATATTTACATGGAAGGGGCATCCACCAACGCTCTGGGCAACCTCTTTCAGTATCTCACCACCCTCACTGTGAAAAATTTCTTCCTTATCTAGTCTATATCTACTTTCTTTCAGTTCAAAACCATTACCTCTTGTAATATCGCAGCAGATCCTACGAAAAAGTCCGTCCTCCTTCAGGTACTGGAAGGCTGCTACAAGGTCTCCCTGGAGTCTTCTCTTCTCCAGGACCAAGAACTTCAACTCTCAATGTTTCCTCACAGGAGAGGTGTTCCATGTCTCTGAAAACTCAGCTCAGCTTTTGGGACAACAGTGGTGAAGTGAATGCTTTAACTCTTACCGAAGTCAGGCTGCAGCACAATTATTTTCAGTGTACATTTCTGAGTTATTTTGTTGCTAATTAAGTCCAATGTCAACTTGAGTTGAAGATCCATTTCAAAAATGTGTCTTCGTGACAATTTTCCCAATGTGAGAAAGAAAGAGAAATTACTACAAAGGAAAAATTATACCCATTAGAGAGAAGATTTGTTGAATTTTGGCTCTGGATCTGAATTGTCTCCAAGGAATGGCATTAAGGACATGAAGTCAGTTTGGCTAGATGGGATAATCCTCTGGAATGTGGGAAACATGCTCATCATCAAGATGCAGCTTCTTAAAAATCCAGGCAGGGAAATAGGGAGAGCCTGAGGAGCAGGGGCAGGAGTGAGGGTGACATGGGGACCTGTTAAAGTCACAGCTTGGAAATACACAAGAGAGTCCAGGGTGCAGGAGGGAAGAGGCCATCATCAAGAACATCTGTCCATACTACTGTGAATGTCCAATGCCAAAGCCAGCAGCTAAAGTCTTCAGCTCAGTTGAAGCACATCTGGCTCCCATGGGCATGAATCAGTGGTGAGGAGCACAGCTCCTGCCTGCACAGCATCAGAGCTCTGTCTAAACGTTACCATTCAGTGCTCTAACACCATGCTGACTTTGTTGCTCAGGACAAGACAAGCTCAAGCTGTACCTGACAAGGCTTCCAGCCCACCATGGTGTTAATCACATCATCCAGCATAGTATTAGGGGATACTCCTCTTAATTTTCTTTTCCAGTCTGAAAGCCTCCACCAACCATGCTCTCAGCTCTGTAAGAGCAAACAGGTGTTTATTTCTGTGCAGTGCCATGCAGCACCTTGGCTGGAAGCTGTCCCATACATCTCCTAGACTACACACTGGGACTTTTACCCAGGTTTGCAGTTGTCGACAGTGTCTCTGAAAGCCAAATTATTTGGGTTTTATTCTTTTCTCATTCTCTACTGCTACTTGTATCCTGAATCAGATGGCACTTCTCAGTCTTGTAGTGATGTTATTCTCCTTACACTGCTTGCAGGAATGTAGGGATGAGCACAGAATGTCTGGCTCTGACACTGACAGATCTCATACTGCTCCCAGGGAGTTGCCCAAATGCTACAAAGATGAACCATATGGGCCGCCCCAGCACTTGAGGCCATTAATAGGAATTTTTGAGCAACTGTGATTGATGAGGCAGCTCTTACAAGTCTGAGATCAATGAAAATGCAACTTGATCTTTTGAACCCAACTCCTTAATTTTTTTGTTCCTTTTTCTGCAGAGAATCCCATAAAAACATTTCTGTGCAGACAAAAGCTGTCTGGGACACTTCATGTGGATTTGTCATGCATTTTCCTTTTGCTGCCCCCTCTGCCCTATTTGCAGTTTCATATGCAGTTTGTTTTTGAGTTTTTCTTCAAGACTTGTACAGTCACAGCACGATCAGCTTTTTCTATAATTGTGATTGGACATTGTCTTCAGGGTGTTTTTTGAGACTTATTATTTTTCTTTTGTTTTCAATTTAATTAATTTACCCTCACAATTATTTGAACACCAAGGAGAAAACAATAGTAAGAAAAAAGAAAAACAAAAGTCACTGAGAAGGGGACAACAGACTGAACAACCTTCCTGGGAAAGCAGGGAGCCAAAGAAAAGAACAAGAGAGAGGACCATGTCTAATGAGTCTTGAATTATCCAATATTTTTCCCTTAGGATCTGCTGACACAAATCAACAGTAACCAAAACT